CTCTCTCTCTCTCTCTCTCTCTCTCTCTCTCTCTCTCTCTCTCTCTCTCTCTCTCTCTCTCTGTGAGAGCACAGAGCAGATGGAAGTTCACTAGGATGGTAGGAGGAGGCGAAAGAATCATTGAGGAAGATGGCGCCAAAGGAGAAATACTGATCACTGAAGAAGATAGCGACAAAGGAGGAGAGCGATCTCGATGGTGGCTAGCATTTCAATAACCAAAAAAGAAAACAGACAATGGCGCGAAATAAAATACGTGATGTAAAAAAAGGGAAAAAAACTATGCGGTCGCCCAAATCACTATTGCCGTTAGCGGGGATGCCGGCTGGATCGCAGAGGCTAAGGGAGGAAGAGAAGAAACCGCATGGTGGGAGCAGGAGGAGGAAGGAGTAAGAAGGCCATATGACGATGAAGAAGGAAAGGATTTTGGCAGATAAGGAACAATTACCGAGGATGGGATAAGCACGGGGGGGTGAAGAATCCATTGCACGGATGGAGAGACATCAACGATTCAATTTTTGGAAAGAGAAACAACGAACATTACTATTACGTAATCTTTGAACACAAAAACAGGAAAAAAAAAAAAAAAAAAAAAAGGACGGACCAACGAAAACACTACTACGCTGCAGCTTTCGGAATGTCGAAAAAACGTTTTGCAAAGAGTTTCCCTTATAAGCAGGCATGTGCGAATCTTGATCTCATCGTCCTCGATCTCCCCCCGGTGGAGTTGTTGTTAGGCAGAGGAGACCGGTGTCAAACCCAATTAGGGAATGCGGAGGGGGGCAGCGATGTGACAAGAGGGAGAACGAGAAGGGAGACCGAGAAGGAGGAGGAAGAAAATGAACAGCGAGAGGAACAGCAGCAGGTGGGCTGCAGTGTTTTTTCTTTTTAAAGGGCGATGGCCTTGAGGTATTATCATCGGACTAACCAGCCCAGGTAAATTCAATCTTGTGTCTAATCTGACAACGGTGGGGACGCTGGTTCCTGATTGATCTTGTACAAAGAAGGCGGCGGAAGATCCAATGAAAAGGAGGATGGGGGGATGAAGGAGGAAACCGATCTCGATGCAGGCAGCTGACAGATCGTCGATCGAGGGGAGAGGGGGCAAGGGGGGCGGGGGGCGGGGGGCGGGGGCGAGGGGCGAGGAGGGGACGAGCTATACTGTAATACATACGAAATACGAAAAGAGCAATTGGAAAAAAAAAAGAAAATTTCGAACGAGAGTCGATTGGATCGTTCGCGAGTATGCGCGAAGTTTCGGCGGGAATGTTTTCACGACTTGCTTTCGTCAACAGGGAACAAAAACAAAAAAAAAGGAAACGCTGATCAGTCGAAACGAATCGGAAAAATTGGTGTTGATCTGACACGTGGGACTCGTGGCAGAAGGAAGGAGAAGACGACACAGAGGAAGGAAGGGCCGCAGGAGAAGTGGCCTCTCCCTCCTGGCAGCCCGTCAGGGAAGATCGATCATCATAAATGTTCTAGAGTGGGGGGAGGAGACTGAGCGACGATTACGGTTGAAACACACAACACTAGTGGGAGAACGGTAGGGGGAAGAAGGAGAAGACGTACGATGTGAACACGAAGATTGGGCTTCAAGCACCACCAGTGGAGGACGAGATCCAGCAAGGACGATGACCCTGCCAACTTTCAAATCCTCCGACGATTCATCAGCGAGCAATACCCGATGGCCTGATGATTGCCTCCTTCCATCCCCATCAACCGCACCTCGATCGGCACCCCAAAACCCGGCTAACCGCAATCCTTCTCTCTCTCTCTCTCTCTCTCTCTCTCTCTCTCCCCCCCCTCTCTCTCTCTCTCTCTCCCCCCTCTCTCTCTCTCTCTCGTCGAGTTCCACATCCACAAGTCGTGAAAGGCAAGCGGGGGCAGAAAGGGGGGAGGTTTCGAGGACCGGACCGGTCGGCCAGGTGGGGGGACCGGTCGGGGAAGGCAAGCAGGCTTAAGGAAAAGGGTTTCGAGGGACGGACCGGTCGCCGGAGGCCCGGGGCCCTGTCACGTCAGACAAGGGGGTAGAAATGAAGTTCTGCTTTGCCCCGTCTGTGAGCCGGAGATGACCAGTTGGGCTACTATTGGTAGCCCCAAATCGGTTAGTGACTTCAGCCCTTGAGCGGTGGAGTACAAGGGTATTTTCTCCTGCTTTGCGCATGTCACACAAAGGACAGCCAGTAATTATTTTTGAGTGCTGCCGGGTGGTGACACGCTAGAAGTGACCACCACGACCTCCAAGCCTCTTTTTGCCGAGGCCGATTCGGCCCTGCACGCCTAGATTTGGCGAAATACCGACGCGGCGTTTTTTTCCTTCAGGCCGGAGCTGCCAGCCCTTCTTTTTCCCACAACAAAAACAGATTGGTAATTGTTTTGAAATGCCCCTCTGACTTCTGTTGATTTGCGGTATTCCCCTCCGACTTCCGTTTATTTGCGGTATGCCCCTCCGACAGCCGTTTCCCCTGTCGTGCCCCTCTGACAACGATTGATGTTTCCGACAAACCCCTGGCGTCGTCCCTGGCGACGTTTGGGCCTGAAATATGTCCAAACATGTCCCTGTCGGTACCGGTTCCAAATTTCCAGTATGCCCCGGTAGCTCCACTCCCAGGGCCAGGGGAAAGACTGCATGAGCAACCAACCGCCACAGGGGCGTGCTGGAAAGTTGCACCACGCACAGACAGGGGCCTGCAGGAAATTTCATTGGCACGACAGTCCGAGGGGCATACCACAAAAAAATAGATTTCAGAGTTCCCAAAATTATTACCAAATAGATTTCAGAGTTCCCAAAATTATTACCAATACAACAACCAGACCGCGACCTCATTCCACTAGCAATTCATTTCCGTTTTGCACATTCATGCAAAAACCCGGGTCTCTCTCTCTCTCTCTCTCTCTCTCTCTCTCTCTCTCTCTCTCTCTCTCTCTCTCTCTCTCTCTCTCTCTCCCTCCTTCCCTCCCCCCCACCACGCGGATAAAAATGAGCACGTTTGATTTTCTTTTGTTTGTTTGTTTATTTTCGTTTTCATTCAGAATGTGGTTTGTACCGACTGTCGTCGCTTCAACATGCAGTTCAAATAAGCAGGGATACCCCATTCTTGGAATGAAAGTTTTCAAGTACGACGAAATTTTTAGAAATTGGAATGATATTTTTTAAGATGGAATGAAAATGTAAAATTTAGAGTGTGATTTTAATATAGAATGATTATTTAATTATGTGAAATTTTTATGTTCATTTTGCACGCGCATAAAAAGAGAGAGAGAGGGGGGGCGAGACTCCCGGCGAACAGCACGGGGCCTCGTGCACTTCACTGGGATTTTTTTTTTTTTTTTTTT